GGGGTGTCAATCACTCGCGATTGATTTCCTTAGACCAGTGTTTCTCAACCTTGGCAACTTGAAGATGTCTGGACTTCAACGCCCAGAATCCCCCAACCAGCATCCGCGTATAAACAATTCAGTGTCTAGGACAGTGTTTCTCAACCTTGGCAACTTGAAGATGTCTGGACTTCAACTCCCAGAATCCCCCAGCCAGCATTCGCTGGCTGGGGGATTCTGGGAGTTGAAGTCCAGACATCTTCAAGTTGCCAAGGTTGAGAAACACTGAGAATGAAGCTAAGACTAGGAATTCCCAATTTCTGAACGGACGTGAGAAGTGCGTTATTTAATTTGTTTTGAGTTACTCCCAGAGGCTTCCGCTCACACAGCTGCTAGAATAAGAAAAGCAATGAAGTTGCTCTGAGAGGTAACACGCAATCGTCAAATCAATTCTTTCTTCTTTGGAACAAATGTACATATGTAACTAATAAATAAAAAGGAGACAAACCCCCCACCCACCCCTGCTTTTCCAAACTACACGTGGCCGCCCAATATGTATCACCGCTGACTCCTCATCAGCAGAATGTGATGATGATCATCGTCATCATTCTAGCTATTATCTATCCACCACAGGATGAAGGCCACTTCTGCATGTTTCCAACCAATGTGCAGATATGCCAGAAATGCCCACAAACGCACTTGTCCACCTTGTCCGAATTCTGTCTCCAGTGGGCAATATTCTTCCTCCAGCGAACATTTTCTTGGTTTGCAAAGGGACCACGCTCTGCTGGGGGGAAAAAAGAGGGGGGAAAGGATCTGGCTTTCACAATTGCATAAATACAAAATGTGTTTTGAAGGGAAAAATGCTTAAATGACCAGCTTCTCCCTTTCATCCTTCTTTCCATCCTTCCCCAAGGATGGAAGATCCATCTGGGTTCTTGATTTTACTTCAAACAGAACTTCCTTACTACAAATAGGACTTTATCATGGAGCAACGCTTAAAAAGCAGTATGTCTTTAATTATGGATCCATTTCCATAGCACTGCAACAGATAGAAACTTCTTTCTTAATTCTTTCCATTTGAACTGATCTAAAAACTGAAGAAAATCAGGTCCAATGTGTTTATTTCCTTCAAAGTTTTTACTACCACTGACTAAATTTTCAGTAAATGTGGCCCAGAAATGGTCCATCTTGTGAGGAGAAGGAACTGTAGAAGCAAAATTGGGCTGGTGTCCTACGTTGCCCCGTGAACTTTCGCTTGTCTCACCTCGGCTGCGTCGAACCATTTCTTGACGTGCCCCAATAGTGCCCAAGATGGCTTCCTCCAGTCGCGCCTTCATGTCCAGAGATTTCTTGAAGGTCAGGCTATTGATGCGTTCAAAGGCCTTTTTGCCCTTTTGGGGATTAAGAAAGAAGGAGATACATGACTGCAGGAATGAGATCTGCCAACCAATTGCCCACAATTCTTCAGAAATAGGAGAAATAGCTTCCCATGGAACAAAGTAATCAAAGGCCTATTCAGAAGGAGTTCAGCGGTGAACATCATGGTTTGCTGGCTCCACTGAAGGTGTTGGTGCTGAAGCTGAATCATCTTACAATCCCAGCACCAGATACTGTAGAAATTGTCACATCTCAGTTTCACTAAGACCATTTCAAAATTCCATTAATAACCCCATATTCCCTCCCCATTTCCACTCGCTGCTATTAACCATTCATCTTTTTTTTTAAATCAAGAGATTTCTCAATGTTTTATGGAAATGCTGATAACATGGAGGCCAAATTAAAGTATTTTTAAGTCACTGAGTTTATTTATTTTTTCTTGCATTTGTCTTCCATCCAGTTCCACACAGAAGACTCTAAGAAGAAATTTCCTGACTTTGGGAAGATACAACATTAGCCTTTCCTGTCCCTAACTATAACCAAACTCTTCTGCTGAGACTTTACTAAAGCATAGCACGAGAATAATTGTCTTTCCAAATTCAGTTTTGATATCCTGCTATTTGACTCAGGGGGATTAATTAATTATTAGGGGGTTAATTATTTTGATATTCATTCAACTACTTATTTATTGGCTAAACCACTCCACAGTCTAGAGCAGTGTTTCTCAACCTTAGCAACTTGAAGATGTCCGGACTTCAACTCCCAGAATTCCCCAGCCAGCGAATGCAAAGATGTCTGTATTCGCACACCACCCTTTCGTATAATAAGGAACACTCCATTTTAAATGGGACATTTTATGACTTTGTTTGAATAACCTGCATTATTCTACACTGTAGAGCAGTGTTTCTCAACCTTGGCAACTTGAAGATGTCCGGACTTCAACTCCCAGAATTCCCCAGCCAGCATTCGCTGGCTGGGGAATTCTGGGAGTTGAAGTCCGGACATCTTCAAGTTGCTAAGGTTGAGAAACACTGGTCTAGAGTTATGTTTTGATTAAAAAAAATCAATACATTATTATATTTTTTTCAGCTTTTCCTAAGCACCGTGTTGCTTTTAGGCAAAGATTTCTTATAGTCAGGCTAGGAGGCTTGCGACAAAAATGTCTATGAATTATATTTTTGGCTTTCATACCAACTTCTGGGGAAATAGCATAGGAGCCGAAGACAGAATTCTTGTTTGCTCTCAACCTTTAAAGGAGAGGGAGAGAATCGAAACATTGCAATTCTCAAGCTTCTTCCAACCTTGTACTCAAAGCAGGAGACGCAGAGGTAGAGTAAGTCAAGGAGACGGTTCACATGGAAAGCCGAGAGGTCAGCCAGCCAGCGATGCAGCAGAGCCCCATCCGCATTCTTCAGTACCCACAGAAGACACACCAGCAGGTTGCGACTTGCCTCAGCAGACAACATGCTGTGCTGGCGGAGAGGCTGCAGATGAAGAAAAGGCCCCACAAACAGTTCACCAACAAACTCCAAGCATGCTTCACGCTGTGCACTTTTGTAGATTGTAGATGTACATGCACGATAGGATTTCATGGATCTAATCTATCCTAATTGGAAGAAGTGCTGCCATCCAAAGGAGGAGGGAGGGGGAGAGTTATATCTGCAGGCAAGAGTTATAGCTTGGTGGTCAAGTGAAGAAGACTCCGGTTCAATCCCTGGCATCTCCAGTTAGAACAGAAAACTCCTGGCTGGAACCTGAAGTCTACCTGCCAGTCACAACCCAAAAGAAGAGACTAGCTTGCATCAACTTTTAGAGCCGAGGTGGCTCAGTGGTTAGGGGTGCAGTACTGCAGGCCACTTCAGCTGACTGTTATCTGCAGTTCAGTGGTTCAAATCTCACTGGCTCAAGGTTGACTCAGCCTTCCATCCTTCCGAGGTGGGTGAAATGAGGACCCAGACTGTGGGGGTGATATGCGGACTCTGTAAACCGCTTAGAGAGGGCTGAAAGCCCTATGAAGCGGTATATAAGTCTAACTGCTATTGCTATTGCTACAACTAACATGGTACCTGGCAGCTTCATATCTCTTCTACAGCTTTTAGATGCCATCCAGAATAAATGACCCTCAATGCCCTCCCCCCCTTTCTTTTGCTTATAATGCTTTTTCTGAAGCTTGGTTCAAGTTTGCTCAAGATACTGTTTTTAATCAAAGGATAAGCACATTAAGATGTATTCTCAGGGGCGGCTCTCTCGCTTGGCATTTGAGAGCCTTTTATTCTGGGTTGTCCCACAATATTCAGCATGTGCGGGTGAGTATAAGAAGGCTGCTGAGGGGGCATGTTCCTATCTGTCTGTTGGATTTTTTCCTGAGACCTGTGGATATAAAGGGTCCTTGTGTGGTTGGATTCAAGGCACCGGAGAGGTAGAAATCTGAGATGCACACGGTCTCATCTCTGAGAGAAAATTTCCTCAAAGGTGGAAGTTGTAAAGCTTCAAATCCAGATGTGCAGGAATTCTCCACCCTCTTAAACCTGGATTCTGTTCTACCATATGCTCCCATTTCTCAAGATCAATAGGCACTCACCACTGATGGCATTTGGAAGACCGTAGACCGATGGGTATGGGGCAAAGGAGAGCCCGCAATGGCCATGGCAACTGACTGGCTAATGGTGCTGCCATCTCCATCTCCATCCTCAACCATCACAGAAGCAAGACGCCCTCTCTGGAGATGGTTCTCTGTAAAACAGAATTGACTAGCGTTTGAGTGATAGAAGGAAAAGTAATTCTTTTCCCACCCAATCAGCCACTTTAATTGGGTTCCATCTATGAAAATACAACAGAAACAAAACTTTACTGTATTTAGATACCGAAAGCAGCTAACAAAAATTAAAAACACAACGAAATTGTACACCAAAATTAAGTAAAGGCCAAACATTGTTGTTAGAACAATAAATTGGTGTTTGGAAGAAAAGGTACTAGCCTGGGACTGCTAGAATCTGGATGATAACTCAATAATCAAGAAGTTCTACAACTTCTTGACCCAATATTTTCTTTATTGATTTGTTCTATTTAGAAGACTGCTCAATTGACAAATGACTCAGGAAACCGTGCAAAAAGTATCATATCCAATAAGTAGCATTCGCTGGCTGGGGAATTCTGGGAGTTGAAGTCCGGACATCTTCAAGTTGCCAAGGTTGAGAAACACTGCGGACTACTTAAAGAGCTGAGGACAGCAGACTTGCCACTGGCAACAATGGCCGAGAAAAGTGGTCTCCTTTGGCAGAGTCCGCGCACACTGGCAGCTTCATGGGTTACCATCCACCCCTCCCTCCTGGCCTTACCTGTGAAGTCATAGAGCTGCGGTAGGGCATCCATGATGATGCCAATCAGGGGCAAATAGAGCTGAGCCACTTGGGCTCGCACCGCAGGGTCCCTGTAGCGGGAATCAGAGTCGTGGCTGCACAGCAGGTTGTGCAGAGTGCAGATGGCTTTCTTGTGGAGGAAGAAGGCCCTGATAGAGGGAGGGAAAGGTTTTTAGAACAGAAACACGAAATGCTGCTATTTATTTCACTCCTCCACGGACAGAGGAAACGTGGCACGACAAAACCGCGCTCGACTAAAGCGCGCCTGATTAAACCGCGTCGCTGACGTCATCAACAGGGCGACAACAGTGAG